TGTGGGAGCTTCATCACTGGAGGCTTTCAGGAAGAGACTGGGCTGTCATTTGTCAGAAATGGTGTAGGGTCTCCCGCTTGGGTGGAGGGTTGGACTAGATGACCTACAAGGTCCCTTCCAACTCTGATGATCTGTTATCTAATGAAGACATTCGGACAGAGCTCAAGTCTCAAAATTACTCTTCTTCTTTTTTGTTTTGTTTTTCCTTTTGCAGGCTGTTGGCATTCCTGGCGGATCTCCCGGGACCACCCCCGCCGCGTCCACTCCGGTCACAGGGCATAAGCGCATGGTCATTCCCAACCAGCCTCCCTTGACCGCCACGAAAAAGTCGGCCACACCCAAGCCCATCCCGGTGACGCCCGTCGGGACCCTGAAGCCGCAGCCCGTCGCGGCACCCTACGCGACGGCCGCCACATCTACCCGTCCCCCGTTCAATGTCCAGGCGAAGTCCGCTCATCCTGCCTCCCACTTCCCACCCTCGGCTCCCCAGTACGGGGGTGGCCTGGCCCCCCAGCCTGCTCCTCCCATGGGGCCCTACATGCCGACGCCCCCGCGGGCACCCGATTACGGTTACGTGCCCCCGCCGGCGATGGGCTACGGATCCGCGCCGCTGCCGAGCGCCCCTCAAAGAAGCTGGGAGGGAGCCGAGCCTTCCTACGGGCCCCCTGGAAGCACCTGGAAGCCTGAGCCAGCGTATCCCCCAGCCGTGGGGCAGTACCCGTCCTCTGGAGCCAGGAAGAGCCACGGCTATGCCCCAGTGCCAGCCTCTCAGCTGCCCACCTTGCAACCAAAGGTAAGAACCAGGGAGAGAGTTGAACATGGATGCAAAATGGGCATATTGTGCACTGCCTGCCTCTCTCTCATTTCTATCTATCTCTGCCTCTTATATCTGTTATCTATACCCATCCATCCATTGATGTATCTCATCTGTCTGTCTCTCTGTCTGTCCATCCATTCATCTATTTGTGTTTCTCACCTATCTATTTATCTATCTATCTCTATCCGTCGATCCATCCATAATCTATCTATCTACAGTCTCATCTATTTCTCTTATTATTTACCTATCTACAATTTATATCTATCATCAATCATTCTTGTCTGTCTGTCTATCCTTCCACCCATCTGCCTATCTATCTCTACATATCTATCATCTACCTGTCCATCCATCCTCTTATCATCTATCATCAATCTTATCTCTCTATCATTATGTGTAATCTATCCATCCCTCCATTTATCATATCTATCTTTATCATCCATCCATCCATCTATAACCTATCTATCGATCTATCTATTATTATTTATCTAGCTATAACTATCTATATCATCAGTCTTGTCTGTCTGTCTTTCTCCATCCATCCATCCATCCATCCATTATTTATCTATCTATCTATCTATCTATCTATCTATCTATCTATCTATCTAATCATTATTGATCTAAATATAATTATCTATATGATCAGTCTTGTCTGTCTATCTCTATATCTCTATCCATTCATCTATCCATCCATTATCTATCTATCTATCTATCTATCTATCTATCTATCTATCTATCTATCTATCTATCTATCTATCCATCCATCCATCTATTTTCTATCTATCTCATCCCATCTGTCTGT